TTTATAACAGTATAGCAGACTACTTACATAAAATGCATATAAATATCAGTTGTCACACTAGGTGTATTCACAACAGGAAAGTCATCTAGTTCATTTGCTTTGGTCCGGACCAAATACAATGTTGACTTTTTTTGTTTGGTGCGGTTCGCTTTCGCACTGCCCTTTTTTGCAAGTGAACCAGAAATTGTAAACAAAACCACACGTGTGCTAAGGTCATCCATTCATAGGACAGAAATTCTCAAGCAGGGAAAAACAGGAAGTGCAAAAACAGACTAATCACAGAGATCTTTCATAGTGCCATTTTTATTCTTTTACTGATTTGCTGTTATCAGATACTAACACAATATGAATAAACTTATGAGCATCATATGAGACAATGTCATATGATGTTGTAATTACGACTTTCCAAAAATAAAATCTATAGATATAAAATACTTAAAGCATATCACAATGTTAGTTTAAACAATTAACCTAGATAAATGTGCACTATTAGTTGCATATCCAATCGTTTGTGCGGAGAGTGGAAGCTGAAGCGTGCTTCAGGACATCAGTGGAAAAAAATTAAATACGCCGTCATTTTTGCTCATAAAGGTGAGAATAATACATCGTTCGGAACTGTAAAGGGTCTATTTCTATTTGTCTACACTCACAATATCATGAAAACATTGTGCTTTTGTAAAATAAAGAAAACAAATAGGATTTGCTTGCCGATTCTGTCTTGAACAGGAGCGCTTCACAAAAATGCACCGAAACTCAACTAATATTTTCCTTACAGACTATATCTATAGAAAGCTTTAAATGACTACAAAACGAAATAATTCAAATCCAAAACAAAAATTCGTATTATTATGTCATCCGTAAAGATGCATTTCTTTCTAAAGGCGCATCCAATGATGAGATGGCAAGTCAGGATCATCAACTTCATTGCGACACTGACTCATAAAACACTAGTTTATTAATAAATCATTAAAATATCTCATTACTATTTTGCTCCAACATAGTCATGGTAATTTTTGCGGCAAGCTTTAGCCTATTTAGTGCTCTCACGTCACGTTGCTGCGCGCCATGGTCATGAAAACTCATCATTTGCATGTGTTTTTAAGCATTGTGGTTTAAAAACAAGTGATTTAAGCCTTTGAAACGCAAATAACAGCACTATATGCGCGAGCTGTCTGTTTCTGAGCGTGATTTCTGCCATTGGGTCGGATCGAGGTCGGGTCATATTCACACCTTAATCGAACCATACCAGAGTTCGTTTGGAAGCGAACCGAGACCACCTCTTCAGCTGGGTCTCTTGTACGGTTGTTTGGTCCGCACCCGAGTGCGATTGCTGTATTCACACCTGCCAAAAAGGTCTGCACCAAGAGGGGAAACGAACTTGAGTTCGATTCAATCGAAACCAAACAAAACAGGTGTGAATACACCCTTAGTTAATCCTGGAGAATTGAATTTAGAAATATTATTATCAAGTTACTTATATAGTTCTACATTATAACAACCACGCCACATGAAGAAACAATGGCTGAGCCTGTTCACCTGCTAGACACACACACACACACACACACACACAGACACACGCAGACACACACACACACACACACACACACAGAGAGATAGGCGGAGACAGCTAAAAAGCAGAGAGCATTGCTAAAAGAACACAGAATTGTTCAGATACAGATAGCATATCTTTCACTCACAGTTAATTGATTGATTTTGTTATTTTAGCTCATGTTCTTCAAGAGGGCCGTTATGTAGCAGCAGCAGGCGAGTCATACTAACACCAGATTGCATTACACATTAAACAAATAAGCTGGAATGTCTTACTTTTCAACAAATTTATCCCAAGAATTTAATGGAATAGAAATTGTCCTGCTTTTACATGAATACTTATGCAACAATGTTTGAAATTATTAAATATTCTAAATTATTCTATCAAAATGATTTCAAATTATTCGTAATTAATGGACATAATAACAACACACTGTTATAAAGAAAACACCCTTTTGTTTCTGATAACAGTTCCATCTGTCTCCAAGCGTGCAAGTCTTTAATCTACCGAGCTCCCTCACACACACACAAGGCCAAGGTGTGTTCAAGCTGTGTTCGGCACCTTATCACTGGGGTATTGCCATCACACACACACACACACACAAGACACGTCTGTGAAATGATAAAAAAGAGTCTTACCTTTACAGATAGAGTGAAGGTTTCGGACAGAACACACACTCCTATCTACTGCTACGGTGACACGCCTTGTTCTCCGTCTCTTCTGTGTCTTTCTCTCACTTCATCCCATCCAATGGATGCTGCAGTGAGGGAAGAACACACCCTTTCTGCCTATCTCCCCAGCAGCCTGACCCTCCTCCCCTCCTCACCATGTGTTCCTCCCACCCACCACTGATTGGCGGAGGAGTAGAGGTGACATCATCTCTTTCTCTATTCTTTCTGTTCCACCCATCCTCCCTTTCTCTCTTCCTCTTTCTGCTTCTGTTTGAGCCACAATGGAGAGGGTTAGGCTTTTCCTTTCCTTGCCCCTTCATAGCCCTCTGAGCACTCCAGCAGAAACAAAGTCAACTCTCCAAGGCCTTTTCAAGAAAAGATTTGGTCGACAACCATTAATTACCATTTTCGTGACAACTAGCAGTTCAACCTCTCTCCGCCCCTTTCCTTTTCTTGTAAGATTTAATAACCTCAGTCTCATTACTGTAATACCCAAATAATAAAATATTAAATAAATAAATGTCTTTATACACAATGGTGGCTGCAGTGTCTTTATTTTTGGAATATTAAGGGAAAAAAGTATTCTTGTAATATTAGTACAAAACATGCATCAGTAATAATACTCGAATGGAAATCGTCATCATGAAAATAACGTAATAATAAAAGAATCTTAACAAACAGGTCAATTTTGAAACAGAATGTATTTTTTCTTTCCATTTGAGTGAGAGATGTCACCTAGTTATGTGAGATTCACTCTTATGCACTACGATGGAGTTTTGAGTTAAAATGATGATTAGGATGTAGTTTTTAGGCTGAAATTTCATCCATCTGTATTTAGACATCTACGGGTTTTCTATAAAGCCAATAGCATTATTCAATAGAACATGAATATGCTTGTAAAAATGCAATATGAGCAAAGCTGCCAGCCTCCCTCCATCCCAACCCCCTGCCCGGTCACTGGGAGCAACACTGGCCGTGAGGAGCAGATGGAGGGGCTGGGGGTGTGGGGTGAGGCTTTCAGCCTTTGTCACACACACACACA